ATATATATATTATATATATATATATATATATCATAAGAAGAGCAGGTTTAGATTCAGAAAAAGGAGGAGTGAAGATAGGAGGAAGGACCATCAGCAATCTAAGATGTGCAGATAACACCATACTACCAACAGAAAGCATCACAGATTTGGAACAAATGTTGAGGAAGATCAAGGAAGAAAGCGAAAAGGCAGGCTTGCTAATGAACATAAAGAAAACAAAAATAATGATCACAGAGTAGCTACATAAATTCAACCTAGACTATGAGGAAATTGAAATAGTTAAGAGTTCCCATATCTTGGATCAAATATTGATCAGAATGGAGACTACAGTCAAGAAACCAGAAGAAGACTAGGAATGGGAAAGGCAGCTATGAAAGAATTAGAAGAGATTCTAAAGAGTAAACATATACATCTGAGCACTAAAATTAGAATAATCAAAGCCATTGTATTTGCTATCACCATGTACGGATGTGAGACTTAGTCAATGAAAAAAAAAAGATAAGAAGAAAATCAATTCATTTGAGATGTGATTCTGGAGAAGAGTGCTGAAGATACTGTGGGCAACCAAAAAATGAACAAATGCATCCTTGAGAAGATAAAGCCTGAAATCTTCCTGGAAGCCAAGATGCCAAATTGCGGATGTTTTGTCCCATATTGCTTCATCTAAGACATTTTCCTCAGGATGCATTCATCCTGACAAAGATAGATGGAAGTAGAAAGTGAGGAAGACCACCCAGCAGATGGATAGAAAATCAGGGAGTTATTGGCCTGAAATTACAGGACTGAAGCAGAACAATAGAGGACACGGAGTCTTGGAGATGTCTCATCCACAAGGTTGATGTGAGTCAGGGGGTCAACTCAAGGACACTTAACAATAACATATGAGGTTGCACATTGTTGTTGGTTACACATATGCTCAAAGGGATGTTTGACAGTGGAACATACTTCCTTGGAGAGTGGTGGAGTCTCCTTCTTTGGAGATCTTTAAACAGAGGCTGGATAGCCATCTGTCAGGGGAGATTTGATTGTGAGTTCCTGCATGGTAAGGGGTTGGACTGGATGATCCTTGTGGTCTCTTCCAACTCTTTGATTCTATGATTCCATGAAGGAACAAGAAATGACATGCTCACTTTACCAGGGCAACCAAGGTATATAAGGCATGCACTTGAGTCATAGTGTATTGGCTTGAAAGGAGGAATACTCAGGTTACATTATGGTTCACAGGTGAATCATACAATCATAGAATCAAAGAGCTGGAAGAGATCACAAGGCCTATCCAGTCCAACCCTCTGCCATACATGATAAAAACACTCCCATTGGATGGGCATCCAGCCTCTGTTTAAAAACTTCCAAAGAAGACTCCACCACTCTCCAAGTCAGTATGTTCCACTGTTGAGCAACACTTACTGTCAGGAAACTTCCTAAACTTTAGGTGGAGTCTCTTTTCCTGTAGTTTGAATCCATTGCACAGGGTCCTGTTCTCTGGAGCTGCAGAAAACAAGCTTGCTCTATCCTTAATATGACACCTCTTATCACAGGGCTATCATATCATCTCTTTACCTGCTTTTCTCCAGGCTAAGCATATCCAGCTCCCTAAGTCTCTCCTCATAGGGCATGGTTTCCAGACCCTTCATCATTTTGATAGCCCTCCTCTGGACATGCTCCAGCTTGTCAACAACCTTCTTGAACTGTTTTGACCAGCACTCGACACAATATTCCAGGTGAGATCTGATCAAAGCAGAACAGAATGGTACTATTACTTCCCTCAATCTAGACACTATATTCCTATTGATGCAGACTAGAATTGCATTGCTTTTCTTAGCTGCTGTGTCACATTGCTGACTCATGTTCAGCTTGTGATCCACAAAGACTTATAGATCCTTTTCTCATGTACTGCCATTAAGCCAGATGTCACCCATCATATATCTTTGTGTTTCATTTTTTACTGCTCAAGTGTAATATCCTACATTTCTCCCTGTTAAAATTCATTCTTAAGGTCATTTTGAATTTGGATCCTGTCTTCTTGGGTATTAGCCATCCTTCCTAATTTGTGTCATCTGTAAATGTGATAATTTTATTGCCTTTGTTATGTTCCTTGTCATTTCCATGTTATGGTGATCCTAAGGCAAACCTATCATGGGGTTTCTTGGCAAGATTTGTTCAGAGGAGGTTTTGCCATTGCCTTCCCCTGAGGCTGAGAGCATGTGAGTTGTCTAAGGTCACCCAGGAGGTTTCATAGCCAAGTGGGTTAATGAACCCTGGTATCCAGAGTATGACCTCTATCCCATCATTCAATTAATTGATGCTGATGATGTTGAATATCATTGGGCTCTGTGGATTCAGCACTTTATTCTTATTCAAGTGTATCATTTCTGACTACCTGGCATCTGATTTTCCACTATCTGA